TCACACAATTTTCATAAAATGTAAGTGCTTGTTTGTTGCCGGACTCCACATAGCCGTCTTCCTGAAAAAACACGGGATTCATCCGATGGCACACAACTCCCTGCATTTGGTATCGCCACGGAAATCGTCATGGTAGAATGGTTATGAATTGTGTTTTGCACTCTGTGCGGCGTTATTTGAATGACTTTCTTAACTTTTGAGATATATAATTGTTCATTTTAAAATCAATTTAAAGAATTATACCATTGTAAATTACCTATATGAGTGTTCAAAAATATTACTGATATCACGCAGTGAGTGAATGTTGTTCTGCGCTACAGTCGGCTATAGTCCAGCTGTATCACGTGATCGATCCCTCAATCGAGTCTGGACCAGTGATCGACAGCATGACTATCAAGGTGCGACGTGAGGCCTTGATCACACGTCACGGATCCTGGCTACTGATCTCCTTTTGAGCCTCCTCTTGAGATAAGCATTACAGGAACCTGGGATCGGGATTCAGGATAAGCAATTATGATGGTAAGGATGACTTGAGTAAGTGATTCAGGTGACTTTGGAAACCAACGAGCTTGCGTATGGTGCTGACAAACCAAGAAGAATTATAAGGGCAGATCTGAGATTCCAACCCACAAACGAAGGATTCTTGCAGGCCTTGATGCAACTGTATGCAGAACAAAATCGGGCGCCTTAGACAACTGTGACCCCTAGTCCTGAATGAGTGAATTAATGAGATTTCGTTTAACACCGCTTTGAACAATATTTCTGTAATATGAGGGCGTGTCAGTTTAATGTCGGAGTGAAGCTCTGTTGAAGTTATGTAGGTCTTAGACATGTACCACTTTGATGTTTTTGAAAGAAAGAAATTGATAGCTGTACATGCTGATTGTCTTGAAATAAATGCCTTGCCTTTGCATGTGTATGTGACGGGGGCCACCGGTGGGGCAGGATACGCTCCCATTTCCGGAACACCTGGTATCATCACTTTCTGAGAGTGACTCAGACACATGCTTATAGTTTAGTCGGCAGAGTGGACTCTGCATGTTTTGTGGAGTGTTCTTTTGATTATGGATATGGTTTTGTAGCTTTAATTCAGTTTTGAAGGAAAAACATCGTCGGTTCCTGCCAAAGAAACAAATTGAATGTCTTCAAACAGTGACCGAATCTTTATCCAGCAAAACATCCAGCACCACTCAAACAGAACACCAAGGTATGTGTCAGCTTGGGTTGTATGGTCCAGTACCAATCAAACAGAACACCAAGGTATATGGCAGCTTGTGTTGTATGGTCCAGCACCAATCAAACAGAACACCAAGGTATATGGCAGCTTGGATTGTATGGTCCAGCACCAATCAAACAGAACACCAAGGTATATGGCAGCTTGGGTTGTATGGTCCAGCACCACTCAAACAGAACACCAAGGTATATGGCAGCTTGGGTTGTATGGTCCAGCACCACTCAAACAGAACACCAAGGTATATGGCAGCTTTGGTTGTATGGTCCAGCACCACTCAAACAGAACACCAAGGTATATGGCAGCTTTGGTTGTATGGTCCAGCACAACTCAAACAGAACACCAATGTATATGGCAGCTTGGGTTGTATGGTCCAGTACCACTCAAACAGAACACCAAGGTTTATGGCAGTTTGGGTTGTATGGTCCAGTACCACTCAAACAGAACACCAAGGTATATGGCAGCTTAGGTTGTATAGTCCAGTACCACTCAAACAGAACACCAAGGTATATGGCAGCTTGGGTTGTATGGTCCAGTACCACTCAAACAGAACACCAAGGTATATGGCAGCTTGGGTTGTATGGTCCAGCACCAATCAAACAGAACACCAAGGTATATGGCAGCTTGGGTTGTATGGTCCAGCACCACTCAAACAGAACACCAAGGTATATGGCAGCTTGGGTTGTATGGTCCAGCACCAATCAAACAGAACACCAAGGTATACGGCAGCTTTGGTTGTATGGTCCAGCACCACTCAAACAGAACACCAAGGTATATGGCAGCTTGGGTTGTATGGTCCAGCACCAATCAAACAAAACACCAATGTATATGGCAGCTTGGGTTGTATGGTCCAGTACCACTCAAACAGAACACCAAGGTTTATGGCAGTTTGGGTTGTATGGTCCAGTACCACTCAAACAGAACACCAAGGTATACGGCAGCTTAGGTTGTATAGTCCAGTACCACTCAAACAGAACACCAATGTATATGGCAGCTTGGGTTGTATGGTCCAGTACCACTCAAACAGAACACCAAGGTATATGGCAGCTTGGGTTGTATGGTCCAGTACCACCCAGAACACCAAGGTATATGGCAGCTTGGGTTGTATGGTCCAGTACCACCCAGAACACCAAGGTATATGGCAGCTTGGGTTGTATAGTCCAGTACCACTCAAACAGAACACCAAGGTATATGGCAGCTTGGGTTGTATGGTCCAGTACCACTCAAACAGAACACCAAGGTATATGGCAGCTTGGGTTGTATAGTCCAGTACCACTCAAACAGAACACCTAGGTATATGGCAGCTTGGGTTGTATGGTCAAGTACCACTCAAACAGAACACCAAGGTATATGTCAGCTTGGGTTGTATGGTCCAGTACCACCCAGAACACCAATGTATATGGCAGCTTGGGTTGTATGGTCCCTAGGGAGGGAGAATGAAACTGGAGTGCGCACTCTTCCATTGACCGGGGTAATAATGTAGCGCTTTAAGCACGCTTTAGGGTGTGGAGCTGACGCCTTATTATGATGTACAATATTAAAATATTCAATGATATAACATGGTCGTTTCATGGCCTGATTCTTCTATGTATCATGTACCTCATTCAGAAGTAAAAGGCAATTATACTTGTCGTAAAAGGCGACCAACGGGATCGGGTGGTCAGACTCGCTAACTTGGTTGATACATGTCATCGATCCCAATTGCACGGATCGATGCTCATGATGTCAATCACTGGATTGTCTCGTCCAGAATCGATTATTTACAGACCGCCGTGAAATAGCTTGAATATTGCTGAGTGCGGCGTAAAACAACAGACCAACACCATTCAGAAATATCAGCACCGTCGTCTTGAGGGCATTTCATTTCTAAGTTTATTACATTAGAATACTAAAAGCAATAGTATTATTTAAGAAATAAACCCGTGTTTTCATATACAGTCAAGTCTCGCTAATCCGACAATCGGCTTTATTGACAAACAAAAACAAACATGGGTTAATTCACAAGAATAGAGCTGCACCAATGATAAAGGTGACGCAGCGCATATACTACTAATAAACAGCGTACAGAAGGGCTTCTCTGCAGCGCCAGTCCGATTGGTTCAGCCTTGTTATTGACTGATAGGTACCACGTGGGCGAACTTGCGAACACACAAAGCAGTGACGTCACGGTTAGTAGCGCATTAATGAATGAGGACGGGTTGTTTTGACTGTTAGATTATAACTACTTCTTTAAAAAGAAACATATCTTTCTAGGAACAAGCAAAATGTACAGTGTCATTGAAAATATGATTATGGAGCGAGTGAGCAAATATTTCACTGCTGCTAGTACTATTTTAGTTATACATGACATGGAACGATGAAATGGCTTTACACATTCCGACCATTTGGTGAATCGAACCCAGGTCTTATAATCACCCTACCAGTTAGTTCGTTGTGACGTCATCGGCTATTAACAAAAACGGAATAAACAATAGTCAAATTAAATTCAAAACGCCAGAGAACCTGTGTCTTCAACCTGCCGGCTGAGACGTGTACGAGAGTAGTACGCGGATATAGAAACATTGTGATATGTCTTTGCTTATAGGAGAAAACATATCAACACGTTTTTGAAGTACACATATCTAAAGAATGTTAAGTATTGTTACTTATTCATGTATGAAACCGTATGCCTCCATAGAAAAGTGTGAACTTTGAGTTATTTACGCACACTGGAATATGTTTCGGCAGGTATTTGAGGCTGATTATTCTCAGGCGATCACGTTTTATATTTACAAGTCCACCTATCGCGCGCGCACACACAGACACACACACGTGCACACACACACACAAACGTGCACACACACACACACATATATATATACATACACACACACACACGTGCACACACACATATATATACACACATACACACACATATATATACACACATATACATATATATACACACACACACATATATATATACACACACACATATATACATACACACGCACACACACACATATATATATACACATACACACACACGCATATACATATATATATTATATATATATATATATATATACACACACACATTCAGTTGCTACACAAGAAGGTCTGTATGACACCCCCTTAAGACAAACATACACCCGCCCTCTCACATCAACATATATTCCACGTGGGTTCTGAATACAGTCTTTGGATGCCAGTATATGTTTTACAAACTGTCCTGACTCCGTCAGATGGATGACACTGTGTAGAGAGAAGTCTGTCACCAGGATGTCACCTGTGCTGGTACTTGTGATACCATGGGGACACTTCAGTGCCGTGTCTCCTGTAGGGCTGTAGTTGAACACCACATCTCCCTTAGGGGTCAGACACACGACACGCTTGGTTCCCCAGTCAGACACCAGGATGTTTCCTGTCCTCGTGGTACAGAGGAAGTTGGGACATTGTAAGATGTTGTTACCTTTGTGGAGTGGACTGATTGACCTCAGCACGTTTCCCGTCATATCCAGGATATCAACACAGGGAGGAGACTGGGAACTAGCTGCTAGTGTTGATGGTGTCAGGGACGTTATGCCCCAGTACTCTTTGCGGGTTGTGATGGTTGACAGCAGCACCAGGTCAGGGTTGACTTTTACTGTTACAATCTGATTGATGTTCCAGACAGTGGCGGCCACCTGGTTGTGTGTCAACTTCGTAATACCCCACGTATATCCACCAAGGAGGAGCTTACTGTGACCTTGTTGATTGTTCCTGGTATAGAAGGACTTCACACAGTGGTTAGATTGATCTGTGACTACAACCGTGTCAATACTATTAACAACCATCTCTGTCACATCACGTGGCGTTACGTCAGATTTGTCGCCTGCTACTCTGACGTCAATGGTGTCCTGTAACACAGGAGTAGCCTTCAGGTCCAGCACGCTAATGGTGTCCTGTAACACAGGAGTAGCCTTCAGGTCCAGCACACCCTCATACAGGACGCCTATCTCACCCAGCTGTAGATCGTCCAGAGATTTACTCAGCTTATCCGTGTCCTGTCTGAATGTGACCTTGGTTATTCTTCCTCTCTCCTTCAGTTCTGCGTCTCCGACAGCCTCCACATCACCCGCCGCACATCCCTGATACATCTCATACACATCCATGTCACACTCAGATTGTAGAGCCTGGTCTATCAGCTCAGCCTGTTGTTGGTACATCTGTACTGACATATCACCTGACTTTATGTCTGCTTTCAGTTGTCCGATGTGTTTGTCTGACATCTCTTTCAGTTGATCAAGAAGATCCTTTTCTCGGAGTTTAATCCATTCTATAGCTTTGACCGTTGCAGAGTTAATATCTGATTCCATTTGTTTAAATCGACAAGTTTCGTCCTCCAGCTTTGACTTCTTTGTCTCAATCTCTTTGCTGATTTCGTCTTTTCTCCGTGACAAATTGCCCGTCGCCCACGTCAGTACTGCTTTCATTGCCCGTATCTCCACTCCCAAGCTGACAACAGACTCACATTTCCTGTGGTAGATTGTACAACAGGTTTGACAAAGTGCTTTCTTGCAATCTTTACACAACAACTTGATGCTTTCATCCGTGTGTTCTTTACACATGACCGTTCGTCTTCGTTTGACCTTGACCTCCCCAGAAAGGTCAGTGAGGTCATGATGACGAGTAGCTGGGATGCGATTGTGAACTCTGACGCATCTTCCACACAGTGCATCATCACACACATAGCACCAAACAGAGGCAGGAGTTGTCTCCCCTTCTTCAATACAATAGCTGCAGTTGGTTGTATCTGAAAGATGAAGTTATACCTAAAGAGTGTTTAACACGCAATACACTGATGTACCAATGACTGATTGTACAAAGTTACTAAATACAGATAATATTTGAAATTATAGCTGCCAAAAACTAATATTTCTATGGTGCTTTGAATTCCAGATTACTGTTTAGAACCTCACACGCTGATATTTGGAGTCAATAATTGAAATCTTAGCTGCCAACAAACAACTCATATTTCTTGGATGCTATTTAGTCAATGTGTTTGGTTGTGTTGTCAAATAAAGCGCCTACAGAAACTGTATGACATTTGTGAAACAGTATCATACGATCATATGATACGCAAGTGTTTTACACGTGTCTACCTTTAGATCCTGGACCAAATGAGTCCAAGAGTCCCTGGATGACAAAGCAAGGTTTGACGTCATCCGCCCACTCCTCCACTGGTCTCTCAGGGGCGGACACTTTCGTCATCTTGTTGCAGAATGGACAGAGGAGGGACTTGGCACTGATGGCTTCTGGTCTGGTCTTGGTGTAGTTGACGACACATTTCCGACAGAAGGTGTGGTTACACACAAGTGTACAGGGATTAGTGAAGACATCAGAGCATATGACACAGGTTAAGTAATGTTCAGTGAGTTTCTGAGAGGTCGCCATCTGAAAGAGGACAAGAAGCATTGAATTCCTCATCACTACACCCCGTGCATAAAACATGGCTATCTCAAAATAAACTATGGACATTTCAATCCTGAAAATACCGACCAGTTCATTGACCGAGTCAATCGGTGAATTATGAAAACAATCGTTAATGAAAAACCTTCGATGTTTTGAACTTTTAGGAAAAGGTTTCCTATTGGGAAAATGAGATTGATGATTACCCAATCTAAAGTCGACTAGGTATGATGATATCCACAATTCAAACATGATTGGTAAGGGAAAACCTGCAATTCACCGTTCTGAGTTGCATCCATTAGGCGTTGCAGTACCTACGATCGTAGGAATCCTAGAATGGCCCTGATTATGTTCCTAGGTTTTCCCGCAACACACCCGTGATCGTGGATTTAGTCAAAGTGGTAAACGTCTAAAACATACAGGCTTTTCTCCCATATCAAACTGATATTTCGTGAAACAACTGAAATATAGTTCAAAGCGGCGTTAATCCCAACTCACTCACTTACTGATTGCTCAGATCACAATATATTATTATTATACTGTTTCTTAGCCTTGTTTGGCTCAAATAAACATTTGTATGATTATCCTTTTGTGTACAGATAAATAAATAACCCTAATAACCACACGCACTGTCAGTATAACTGTTCGAGGTTAATTGGCTAAAGTGAACACACGAAAGGAATATATACCACCATGACATTGGAAAATCCTGCATTGTGATTGGTTTCCTAGCGGTATCCAAAATAAGTAACAAAATATTAATTGAAATTGTGTGTTGTTTCTTTAACGCCAACGACAGCAAAATAAGACTATATCCCATCCACCTACAATCCCAGATTTGTCCTGATACTGTAACCATGCTCGTGAGTTTCGCTTCTTTGCTTTTGAAAAATATAAATACAGATAAATAAATAACTCTACTAACATAAACTGTTTGATTTATTTGACTAAAGCGAACACACAAAACGTATATAATGCCTTCTGCCATGACATTGTATTATTGTATTATCGGCACGCTTATTGGTTCCCCATCAGTATCGAAAATAGCAAGAAAATATTTCGAAACACGGTTTTGTTGTTTCTTTTTCAACGTCAGTCAGCAAAATATTCGAACTGTATCCAGGAGACCCGTATGAGCAATGCCCTACGTCGTCTGGACACGATGCCATGCAGTCAACCCAGACATTTAGTCTGACCACTCAACCCACTTTGTCACCTTACTGCATCCCGGAATCATCATTGGGTTCCTGGCACATAACAATCATTGCTCACTAACTTATTGTCAGAACTGATTGGGAAATCGCTGATACCAAGGGAGATACCACTTGCTGCTGGTTTCAGAATTGACAACAGGCAAAGAACATCTTGTTCAGGCTGAACCTGGATACCACTATCTTGACGACAGCTTCGGTAGTACCCGGACCCGGTCGGCAGTACCCTGACACGGTCGGCTGTACCCGGACACGGTCGGCAGTACCCGCACCCGGTCGGCTGTACCCTGACACGGTCGGTATTACCCGGACACGGTCGGCTGTACCCGGACACCGTCAGCTGTACCCGGACACGGTCGGTAGTAATCGGACACGGTCGGCTGTACCCGGACACGGTCGGCTGTACCCGGACACGGTCGGCTGTACCCGGACACGGTCGGCTGTACCCGGACACGGTCGGTAGTACCCGGACACGGTCGGCTGTACCCGGACAGCAGAGAGGCTGTAGTCGGACACTTCATGGTCTTTAATATTCTTTTTCAAAATGCACGGAAACAGACTAGAATGAAATATAAACTTTGAAACATATACTTCATTTTCAAGAAGTCTTATCATAAATGACTGGTCAGAGGCTTAGTTTAACGTTGTTCGCTCCGACAGGTACATCGATCGAACAGATGAAGTAAACAATCAACTTGAACGATTTCTAAAAAAAAGATTATATGATGTGACTCACAGCAAGACGTAAGTCTAATTCTATATAAAAAAGTAGAATTAACACCACATATTACCTCCATCAACCCTGCGTCATGCAGATCCTGAATGCGTTCTTGAATAAAATGCCTCTCTGTCGACACAATAAAACCCGTCCAGCTCAGCACCATTGCCTCTAGTTGGGCCACCATGGGTATAAAATGCAGTTATTTGTTTGTTGTCCCAAACTTTGGTACGCGACTGACGAATGCACAAGCAATATCTGGAACTAATTTGGTGGTGGACGCTCCTCCGCATCTACACCATGTCTGTGTGTATCCGCTAATTCTAGCATCACGATCTTCACTGTGTTCCTACAGAACCTGTTCTCGGGTTAAAACAACATCTTCAAGGCCATAAATGGAAGTGGTCTCACGTACAATAACGTTATTCCTATTCACAGAAAGAAAATATACAAGTACTTAAGTTTACAATGACGAGTCGTGTTCCAACTATATCTCGGACACAACATACATATGCTACAATATAATCCTGTTTAGGCAGCTTATATCAATGTAAGATGCAACTTTATGATACGTTGTTTGTTTGTTGTTTAACGTCGCACTCAGCAATATTCCAGCTATATGACGACGGTCTGTAAATAATCGAGTGACATCATGAGCATCAATCCACGCAATTGGGATACGATGACATGCATCAACCAAGTCAGCGAGCCTGACCACCCGGTCCCGTTAGTCGCCTCTTGCGACAAGCATAGTCGCCTTTTACGGCAAGCATGGGTTGCTGAAGACCTATTCTAACCCGGATCTTCACGGGTCCAACAACTTTATGATAGTTATCTATGCATTATAAATACAACTACATGTGTATTTATATAAATGACACATGACTAACACAATAATGTCGGACTTGTATGGCCAATTGGGATAGTTTATCCGCTTCTTCAGATATAATTGAGGGAAGACCTTTGTGATATTCCTTTGGCTCTTTTGGTTTTATACTTTTCGCAACAACTGCCGCTTTTTGATTTTCAAGGTTCTACGAGGATTACCCGCGCTTACGCTTATTGTAAAATATATCAGTATAATTAAATAAATAGAACTGCTTTTTCAGATATAAGAAAAAACCCCGAAAAATACAAATAATTACACCTATTTACATTTAAAAAAACGAATATCTACTTTGATGTATAAATAGGTTGTATGTAGACATCTAAATAAAATTATTTGTCACCATATGTGCAAATATATAGATTTCATTTCATATTATTGAATTATTTTTGAGTGGTGGTGTTGAATGCTTAGTTATTTGATTTTTTTATAACGCTACTATAGAACATTTGGTTGCATGTAACCAGTGATGATGTAGTGAGTGAGTGAGTATGGTTTTACGCCGCTTTTATGTAACCATTGATAATGTAGGATGGCGTGGCAGTGAAGTAGGAAAGCTGATACTGGACGGTTTGTTTTGAGAGTTACCACCACCAGACGTATTTTTAAATGGAGTTTGCAGAAAGAGGATTATGCATGCGTGTTAATTTTGTGTTCTGACTGTTTACCTTTTTAGCTACAAACACATGTTTGCTGAGTGTCCGATTACTGCCGATGTCCAGATACTACCGAACTCTCTACATAGAGATATAGATTGTGCAAAACATTCATGGGCTAAGGCGACAAGACCAAGTGTCCAAAGTCCAAGTGTGGAATGAACTGTGTTTACTCCATGCGTAAACCACGTCAACGATAACAACTCGGATTCGTTAAACGACTTTTTATTAAACATATCTTGGGAAATTTTAAAAGGATCTTGACCAGTATGACTTGCTAAAGAGAGAACTGTGAACGCCAGCACTCGATATCATTATCACAACGAAAGTAGGGCATATATATCTAACTTCCGGGTTGGCAACGAAGAACAAATACAGCACACAATCAGGTTAATTACAGTGTAATTACAACAGTACGTAAAGTTTTCACAAAAAGCATTTCATGACTATATATATACATTTCCATGAACACTCGGATATCGTGTTGTAATCTGAACAGTAAATAGCGCGATGGAATGACCCAGTTCATAACGAAAGTACAAACACGCGAAATGATTGAAACTTTGAAATCACAAAACAGGGAATTCCTGATAGAAAGCAGCACGTGTACCCTACGAGACTGTTAAGAAGGTACTCACTGACCCAAGAAATTCAGAAATGAATACACGTCCTCCGGGGGTATGATATACTCATCTCCGAGTTTCCCAGCAAACCTACACCTACCTTGCAGTTGGCCTCAGTCCACAGTTACGCCCCTATCCGTTTTACCCGGAAGGAAAATAGGAGAATATAGTGCCCAATGTAAATTGGCTGTTCAACCTGTACCAAGGTTTTAGAGTGACTTCTAATAGCCTTAATGAAAGATTAGACATTGTATTATGTTGCATTTTTTATCCACAATCTGTACATGGTGTTGACACCAGCTTCCCATGATTTGATCCCAAGTTCAAGGCCGTTGTGTGTGTTTCGGCTGATAACTGCCTGTGACCATTGTTGATAGTGGTTACTGCGAAATCAAGATGGTGGATCTTTGCCGATACTTTGCGGTTTAAGATAGATATTCTGTATTTCCTCCAATTGAATGAAGATAACAATATGCAGATATAATTATGTTACATGTTTAACGTGAATTGGGGTTATATTTACACATGTTCATAAACATACAAATTCTTAGCAGGTATCGCCATATCCTTATAAAGCGGCTTACAGTAATTATTACTTCTGCCCACACATCTCTTTCTAGTTTCATAATACATTCTTCTGGACATCCACCAAGTAAAAACTCAAGAATGACATTTCTCCTAGATTTTAACAAAAATATTTACATCCAGGATATCACATATGGTGTTCAAAAAGTAAATTTTGGTCATTCATATTGATAGTACAAGACATAAACACGTGCTTTACAATATCATTGGCAACAGTTTTACAATAACATTATCTAGAGACAGTTTCAGCTGATCCATAGAATCCAAGTCCTGCAATGTTAGTTAAATGGTCATACTTCTCCACGGCTAGTTTCCAGAGATAGAGTTTATTACTTGATCTTATACTAACATATCTTGACAGACTGAGTCTTGAATTAAGGTGGACTTAAAATACACCATCTCGATGAGATTTAAAAGTATAAATCACGGCCTTGGACAAGCATTTCTTATTAATAAATTAACAATTATTGACATAGTTAACAAATGTATCATTTAGGTTATACTTCTGTTCAAGCTGTAGCATATTATATTTCGGAGAATTTCTACTCCATACATTGCATGTAAAACTATCTGTACAGATAAATTGACCCAGGCGAACTAGAAACATTACTTTAAAAACACAGTTATACTTTGCATTGCATAGCTTTCCTAAGAAGTAGAGTGCTCTTTTATCTATGTAATACTGTAGTGGCATGATACCGATAGCATCCAATACAACAATACTGGGAGTGCGCCTGTGTTGTCCCTGAACCTTTTTACCAAATTGACGTTGTACAACTTCAAGCATTTCATAGAGGCCACATGATAAGATTTCCCCCTCCCAGATACGTGCTGCAGATATAGGATTCAGACCACTAAAATACAACCCATTATTATGATTAGTGTTGATGAGTACATGCAACTCTTCACGTTCAAAAGATGATATACACCTGCATATTTAATAGATTTCCTTTATGCAACATGCATATCGCCAATTGATACATAAGTGGTTTGAAGCTTATTGTTTGAGCATCCAAAGTATAAAACTGCACTCCTGCTTACATTATATTTTAGCTGCCACCTATCAGCATAGTTTTGAACGACATCAAGAAGAATTTGCAGGCCTTTTTAAGAGATAGTCAACAAAGTAGTGTCGTCAGCATTAATTATTGTGGGCCGTCATGTCGCTGTAGATAGCAAATCATTGTGGTCTGAGGCCAGTTCGGTCATCCACGGCGGTGTAGAGGGAAACTGTACCTCTTGTGTAAATTGTTCTCCTAAATTTAGATCTTCTGGCTACCTTTCTACAAAGTGATCTTATTACTATGGCTGTGGTAAGCCCATACAAACATGCGTGTTATACCGTGATCAAGTACGACGACATCTGCCAAGTTGCAGTTATAAAATGCGGTGCATTAGCGGGAGACGTCGAGAGGCCGTCTAAATAAAGCAGAGCAGTACACATTTCTTTTTGATTGATACGTTTGATGCAGACGTTGTGCTGTTGACATATGCAGAAAAGGAATTCCAAAGAGAGGAAGTTAGGTCACGTGTTACTTTCGATCTTCCAGCCTTTTAGTATGACTCGAGACTTCCTATAAATACTGTTTTTTAGCTAAAAAGAGTGAGTGAGTGAGTGAGTGAGTATGGTTTTACGCCGATTTAAGCAATATTCCAGCAATATCACGGCGCAGGACACCAGAAATGGGCTTCACACATAATACCCATGTCAGGAATCGAACCCGGGTCTTCGGCGTGACGAGCGAACGCTTTTACCACTAGGCTACCCGACCGCCCCTAGCTAAAAAGAAGAATAGTATATATCGTTGCAGGACGAATAAATGAACATTCTTCAAGTTGATGGATGCAACATAGTTGAATCCACAGTGATTCATTTTGTAAATACATGTGTTTAAATTTGAAGTATAGTACATGTAGCTATACGTTGACCCTCTAAATATATGATATATACGTCAATGATGTCATTCACTGGATTGTCTGGTTCAGACTTGATTATTTACAGACCGCCGTCATATAGCTAAGTGCGGCGTTAAACAACAAACTAACTACTGTAACAACAGGTAGCACCCGCAAATCACACAATTTGCATAAAATGTAAGTGCTTGTTTGTTGCCGGACTCCACATAGCCGTCTTCCTGAAAAAACACGGGATTCATCCGATGGCACACAACTCCCTGCATTTGGTATCGCCACGGAAATCGTCATGGTAGAATGGTGATGAATTGTGTTTTGCACTCTGTGCGGCGTTATTTGAATGACTTTCTTAACTTTTGAGATATATTATTGTTCATTTTAAAATCAATTTAAAGAATTATACCATTGTAAATTACCTATATGAGTGTTCAAAAATATTTCTGATATCACGCAGTGAGTGAATGTTGTTCTGCGCTACAGTCGGCTATAGTCCAGCTGTATCACGTGCTCGATCCCTCAATCGAGTCTGGACCAGTGATCGACAGCATGAGTATCAAGGTGCGACGTGAGGCCTTGATCACACGTCACGGAGCCTGGCTACCTAATCTCCTTTTGAGCCGGCTCTTGAGATAAGCATTACAGGAACCTGGGATCGGGATTCAGGATACGCAATTATGATGGTAAGGATGACTTATGTAAGTGATTCAGGTGACTTTGGAAACCAACGAGCTTGCGTATGGTGCTGACAAACCAAGAAGTATTATCAGGGCAGATCTGAGATTCCAACCCACAAATGAAGGATTCTGGCAGGCCTTGATGCAACTGTATGCAGAACAAAATCGGGCGCCTTAGACAACTGTGACCCCTAGTCCTGAATGAGTGAATTCATGAGATTTCGTTTAACACCACTTTGAACAATATTTCAGTAATATCAGGGCGTGTCAGTTTAATGTCGGAGTGAAGCTCTGTTGAAGTCATGCAGGTCTTAGACCTTTACCACTTTGAGGTTTTTCAAAGAAAGAAATGCTGGATGTCCTGAAATAAATGCCTTGCCTTTGCATGTGTATGTGACGGGGGCCACCGGTGGGGCAGGATACGCTGCCATTTCCGGAACACCTGGTATCATCACTTTCTGCTGGTGAGTCAGACACAAGCTTATAGTTTAGTCGGCAGAGTGGACTCTGCATGTTTTGTGGAGTGTTCTTTTGATTATGGATATGGTTTTGTAGCTTTAAGTCAGTTTTGAAATAAAAATATCGTCGGTTCCTGCCAAAGAAAGAAAATGCACGTCTTCAAACAGTGACCGAACCTTTATCCAGCACAGCATCAAGCACCACTCAAACAGAACACCAAGGTACATGGCAGCTTGGGTTGTATGGTCCAGCACCAATCAAACAGAACACCAAGGAATATGGCAACTTGGGTTGTATGGTCCAGCACCACTCAAACAGAACACCGAGGTACATGGCAGCTTGGGTTGTATGGTCCAGCACCACTGAGAACACCAAGGTATATGGCAGCTTGGGTTGTATGGTCCAGCACCACTCAAACAGAACACCAAGGTACATGGCAGCTTGGGTTGTATGGTCCAGCACCACTCAAACAGAACACCAAGGTACATGTCAGCTTGGGTTGTATGGTCCAGCACCACTCAAACAGAACACCAAGGTATATGGCAGCTTGGGTTGTATGGTCCAGCACCACTCAAACAGAACACCAAGGTACATGGCAGCTTGGGTTGTATGGTCCAGCACCACTCAAACAGAACACCAAGGTACATGTCAGCTTGGGTTGTATGGTCCAGCACCACTCAAACAGAACACCAAGGTATATGGCAGCTTGGGTTGTATGGTCCAGCACCACTCAAACAGAACACCAAGGTATATGGCAGCTTGGGTTGTATGGTCCAGCACCACTCAAACAGAACACCAAGGTACATGGCAGCTTGGGTTGTATGGTCCAGCACCACTCAAACAGAACACCAAGGTACATGGCAGCTTGGGTTGTATGGTCCACCACCACTCAAACAGAACACCAAGGTATATGGCAGCTCAGGTTGTATGGTCCAGCACAACACAGAACACCAAGGTGTATGGTAGCTTGGGTTGTATGGTCCAGCACCACTCAAACAGAACACCGAGGTATATGGCAGCTTGGGTTGTATGGTCCAGCACCACTCAAACAGAACACCAAGGTACATGTCAGCTTGGGTTGTTTGGTTCAGCACCACTCAAACAGAACACCAAGGTATATGTCAGCTTGGGTTGTTTGGTCCAGCACCACTCAAACAGAACACCAAGGTACATGGCAGCTTGGGTTGTATGGTCCAGCACCACTCGAACAGACACCAAGGTATATGGCAGCTTGGGTTGTATGGTCCAGCACCACTCAAACAGAACACCAAGGTATATGGCAGCTTGGGTTGTATGGTCCAGCACAACACAGAACACCAAGGTACATGGCAGCTTGGGTTGTATGGTCCAGCACCACTCAAACAGAACACCAAGGTATATGGCAGCTTGGGTTGTATGGTCCAGCACCACTCAAACAGAACACCAAGGTATATGGCAGCTTGGGTTGTATGGTCCAGCACCACTCAAACAGAACACCAAGGTATATGGCAGC